TATATATATATATATATATATATATATATATATATATATATATATATATATATATATATATATATATATATATATAACACTAGTTAACAAGGAAGAGATAAATGCAAAAGTAACATATTAAATTTCAAAAAGAGTATAAAAAGATGTGCTGAGGATCAGAAGGCCTTCTGTGCATTAAAAGATAAAACACAACCAAAACAACACTTTGATCTGTGTCGAGAGGAACTCTAAACAACTGAATTAGTAACTAAAATGCTAAATAATTTACCTCAAGCATCCTTCGAAAAAGAAGGCAGTTTTGTTGCTCTTCTTCTTAAGCTTTGGGTTCACAATAACCTGTATAATGAGAACTGATGAATGACAGGTCCATGAATGAAATCATAGGAACCAAGAATGAATATATACCCAACAATTTGAGTTACCAGAAGATCAAAAGGACGGCGGTCTTGGGCTTCGATTTCATTCTTAGGAGCATAACTAATGTACTCTTTTGTATCCTCCAGAACAATAATCTGCCAATTAAAATGGGTGCATCAGTTCATAATGCCAACACCTAATAGTTGTAGCAGGGCAATACATGGTCAGAATTTCTTCCCACCCTAACATCTACATAATGATGAATAAGATTTTGCAAGGTTGAGTTATATTATAGTGAAGGCCAGATTCAATTCAAAGACCTTGGTCTTGCTTTTTAGAGTCTTTAAAAGCAAACTATGCTACAAACATCAATATTTAGAAAAGAATATATTGATAAAGAGACCAGTTCCCAGTTGCCCCTCAATTGTTTTCCACTAAGGAATGACAAGACAACTCACTGACACATTATCATGTTAAACAAAAAAACTTATTGGTAATCAACATCTTCTGTTTTATCTTGAAAGAATGAACCAGCACATTCATCAAGTTCTTGGACATGCATTATTGCATGTGATCCTAGATGATGTTGGAGTATCGTACTAATTCGGGCAATTTAAACATCATGAACTTATTTATCAACTAGAATAACTTTTCAGGCTAGGCATGCAAAAAGAACAACTACGAACTACCACGGTTCTGAGAAACAGGTTTTGGAACTTGGCATCTAGCTTCATTCCAGAGCCACATCTCATTGAAGTGTGTGTAACCTCAAGAATTCAGGAAAATGACAAGTCAATTCATACTAATAGACGGTCCAGGTAGCAAGTCCTGAAGTTTTCATTTCTCTAAAAGCTCATGGCAGAGGCACGGGCAGACAAGTTATTCTAGCCGGATTCCAATTTTAGTTCTGAGAAAATGCAATAAGAAAAAGATAATAGAGAAGACACTGCTGACAGATAATGCTAAATCATGTCTATTTTCTTCAGATAGGACCGTTATTTACTTCGATTCACAGAGCATAGAGTTGCTGCCACTTCTTGATGACACCCCATTCACCGAGGCTTGAAGCTACTTATCCAACTCCAGAAGGTATTAAAGAACACAACAGGATGAAATGCCAAGAATTATCTACTCTAGTCCCCACAGGCTCACATTGGCTAATATAGCAGAAGAAAGAGCATGAAAAGAGGGTGTGTGTAAGGAATAAAGGTGCGACCTTCAAGGGGACACCGATCTGAGGAGCAGCGAGGCCAACGCCAGGAGCCTTTCTCATGGCGGAGACCATGTCATCTATGATATTCTGGATCTTCTCCGACCCAATCTCCCGGGGCGGCACCTCATCGGCGGGTTCATGGAGGACGGGGTCACCGGCCTTCACGATCTCCGGCAGAGCGGTGCCCTTGCTCTTCTTCGCTCCGAAGCCCGAGAACCAACCGCCGGCGGACACCCTCGTCAATGTGCGCTTCTGCAAGCCCAAGAGAGGGGATCGCCGGCTCCGCCTCGGATGGTAGGGCGTGGGAGTGGACGAGAAGCGGAGCGAGTTCGGGCGCAAGCAGAGGGCTCCGGTGGCGTTGGAGGGAAAGGGAAGGGAGGGGAGGAGGTTGGACAAGCGGTGGACGGTAACCGTTGTCGTCATCGTCAACACCGTCGTCGCCTTCATCCGGAGGAGGGAGTCCGCGATGATGCGGTGCGTAACGCGTGGGTGTGTCCATCGCACTCATCTTCCACCCTGCATCACGTGCATATCGCATGATGGTTTGATTATTGATGGGCCCGATATGGGCTTGGCCAGAAAAAGCCTCATTTTACTCTATTAGAGGGCAAAATAGGCAGGACGCGTACTCTGTACTAATTATAGATTAATCTTCTATGCTTAACATTTTGATTTTTATATTTTTAAAATTATATTAAAATTTTTATACTTATAAAAATAAAATATTTAATCTCATTTCATCTCATACCGTCAACTCTACTACTTTATCTTACTTCGATTTATTGTGATATTTTCATCAAACGAAATAAGAAGAAACAAAATTAAATATTTTACTTTAAGAGTCTCGATATAACTTTTAAAAATATAAAGATCTAAGGATAATTAATTAAAAAATAATTTCTTTGAGGGGTGATAGCCACAGTTGAATGCTCAGCCATGGAACATCGCATTCTGAGAGCAGTCTTGAGCGTAGGGGTTGAGATAAACCTAAATCTGTCGTGTTCATTGTTTGATCAATGGATCCCGCGGGTGAACTGCCATCATACCTCCATGGTTGAACGATGGATCCCGTGGGTGAACTGCCATCATACCTCCATGGATGCACAAACTTTATCGACAAAACCTGGAACAAAGAATTCGAAGTCAGTGTTTGATGTAAAATCTTGAACAGTAGTTGGACAAAATGGAAAGAGTTTGATAAGAAAAATAGTTTTTTGCAAGATTGATGAACAGTAGGATACAAGAAGCTCATTGTTATGATGAGCCGAAGTCATTCTCAGACAATACCAATTGCATGGGCTCAAATGCCAAATATTAGCATCAGCTACCAGACTTGAATAAAAGATTTACTCGAATGAGGAAAGACTGCTTTTAACAGATACAAGTCATGTGGTGTAAAATTTCCTTCACATCATGTTCGTGCTATTTATGAAAAAATACAAACACGTCGGTTAAGGAAACAGCTGAGAATTTCATATATCAAACATGACCAACATAACTAGAAATCCCACTGGAACAAAATGGCCAATCAACCACATTTTGAAGATCGTATATAACCCTGAACTACTCTTACAGCAAGTTGTATTGGGCTTCTGCAGTCAAAAGATCCCGCAATAAATCCAAAAGATCCCCTTAAATCTGTTTATGATACCAGGAATGAGGTAATTGGGCAGAAGCTCTGGTCTGTTTCCTATTCTGCGGCTGTGCTTGGCAAATTGTTTCTATTAAATTGGTCCCTCGTTATGCTGTGAATCTGAATGCAATTGTTGGACTGGTCGGATAAGGTTGCGTCAGTCACACTTTGAAGTCATGACTACTCTGGACATTGACCATTGTGAAATGCTTGCTAGCAACAAAACTTGGCAGCATCTACAAACCATTGCTAATGCCATCAGTCAAAGCTTGGTGTTGCATCCATGCAAAGGTGCACTAATCTTCTCTGGTACTCGCCATAGAATTCACTAACTGCTTTAAGGTCCTCATCCTCCAAGTTCCTGCTAGGCAATCGAAAACTTCGGTTTTCATCCACAGATGCAAATGCTTCAACTGAAGTTTGGGATTCTGATGAAATTTGTGTGTATATCTCATGGCAGGCAAGCATGAACATTGCAGCTGTGTCCGGCTGCCGTGCATTGCGTAGTGCAGTTAAAGCCTCTGCTAGGGCTCCAGCAGCAACATACAAGATCAGGGCTCTGTTAAGATTTTATCACAAAAACTTGTAAGCCCCAACATAAAAAATGGATGATCTAACCGTATGCTTAATGCATCTATGATGTTAAATTACCTCCAAATGTTATGTTCACTACGAAGAACATAATCAGCCCATCTCTGCAACACTCTGTAATAAAACAGTAATGCATTCAGTATAAACACTGTAGGTACCTCCAATCACATCAAAAAAAATCTCTGCAAGCACAATACACTATATTTTGAACTTTCATTTCAAATTCATATAGATCATTAATTCTGCTGTAACTATAACACAACAGTCTATAGCTGCAGAAATTTTATAGTTAATTACTTTAGTAACCATGTTTTTTTCTTTTTCCATTTTTAGCCACCATGTTCATGAGCAATATTTATGTGGTAGATTTTACTCCAAAAGAATATTAGAATTCTATGCACCTTGAATAGTCAGCTCCACGTAAATGAGTTGCAGCTAAAGTTGCAGCATCTGTCCAACATCCAGCATCTTGTAGCTGTAGCATTTGTAAACAGCATTAGACCAAAGGATATATAGCATTCATTGCACCGGTGCTAGTAGCCATTAACTGACACATAACCAACTATGTATTGACCGTGCAGGCGATGTATGTCCTCAGCACTTGCGCTAGTTATGGACAAGGATACAGAATGTGGTAAACCAATGTTATGTGCCTGCAATTTATCAGCATGTATATACCACTAGGTAATGTTATGGTTGCTTAATGCAGTTTCGAAAAAAAGAATGGCAAATTTCATTTACCTTTCACTATGGAACTTGTAAATTGTAATTAATGAATGTCTTCCTCAAACCACATCATATTGCAATTTATGATGTCTTTAACTGCTAGGTTAGCTTACAGAAGCATTGCAAATATATATTTGCAATTGGTGATATCAGTATATTTCTTGAAGGGTGGTAATAACATGCCATGGATAAAGTTAAAACCAACATATGTTTACAAACTTGCTGATGGGTTTTCATTTAAAGCCTCTAGCTTTTCACCAAGTAGGTGCAGTAATAATTGCCTTGCTGCATGTACTGCAGCAATGCATGTGTTGCAGCATAGTGCATGGTATATTACCTGCATTAGATCAATAGTCAAGTGTGACATGTCCACAACTACATGTGAGCCTTGAGAGTTTCAAGCATTAGGCTTGTATGGATATTGTAGGGCACCATTCACTTTGCTGGAACACAACTAAGCATGACTAGCTAATATCAGTATATCAGTATGATCGTTATCCTAAATATACAGTTGTAGAATGCTAATGTAGCACAACTAGAATCATCAAAAGTTACCAACATATTTAAATTTGAATTATGAGCAAATAATTTCAAAAATATCTTTAACTAGTTAAAGAAATATATATTCGTCCTAGAGTTAGACATGTCATAGCAGTTAAGGAGATTGTGCAGGCCAGCCAGACCTCATAGGAAGTTGGTTAGTTGGTTACAAGTTGGTCACAACAACCTGGCACAGAGGTTGCAATGGCTAAATGCAAGTTGGTTACAAGATAGCACTTGTCCGAAAAAATGGAAGGTTAAGAACCAGTAAAACATTGTAATTACAACAGGTTTTGTTTTTAACATGAAAATAAATCCTTAAGATAAGAGAGTAAAATATCTAAAAGTTATGAATTGGATCGTTAATCTCTATGCTAAACAGCTGCAAGCCTCCGTTATCTTTTGAACATTCCACATGGTCTCATAATGAGAGTACATTAGATAAACCCTCAATAAATCTAAACTTGTGAATGAAAAAATGCCTACCCTGCCATTGTTGGCAGGCGTTCTCTAAACTAAACACTGAATAAAAATGATTACACAACCATAGCATGCAAGTATAGATAAGTTAAATCATTCAATTACTCAGGATCTTCAGAACTAAATTATGAAACTTTATATCAATCTCAATCACAGAACCTTCTCTGGTGATTGTTCTGTATTCATGCATCTACATTCAAACGTAATCCAGTTCTTTTCGTAAATAAAACAGCATGAAGTCTAATGCAGCATACACAAGTCTATCACCACCTTAGCAATCTAGTTTGGCTAAACCATCTTTATCTGGGTTGATTCTTAAATAGACACAATGCCTTTATTAGTATTTTAATATAACGTAAACAAGCATCAGAAATTTTCAGAAGTTAATAAGATTTGAACTTCCAGTCAGACTGGTGTATACCGTCCAATATTCAGTGGTCTGACCAAGTAGCAGTATCAGAACATTTAACTCATCATTTTTAATTATTTAATTTAATGATACTGGGTGGTGTAGATTGGTATACTGTCTGGTATATTGGTACCGTACCAGTCTGATAGGTTACAAAAATCAATATTGGAGAGGAATAAAGAAGACCAAAACTTTCACAGAATAAGTAGCCCTCGGCAGCATATTGAAAGAGAAAAAGAAAAATCAACAGTATTTAGTCAGATCCTAGGAGAACAAACCTGAGAACATGATTCTTGATATCTCCCAACTGCACAGAGAAGATGAGTCCCTGACAGTGATTTATCTGTCCTGACCATATTGGCTGCAACAACCTAGACGTGACAGAACAAAAAAAGTGAATTGTTACATCAGGACAAAAAAAAACTACTGTACTTAGAGGAGCAAAAATTCTTTTCACAAATTTTGATAAAATTGCCACCAACCAAATACGATGAAATTTCTTTAGCCTAATCTAGTTACTGAACAAATAGTTGGGATTTGCAGCAAAAGATCCATGTAGCCGACCCTAAATACTTGGGACTTACAGTTTTATTATTGTTATTGTTGTTATTGTTGTTGTAATGTAGTTACTGACCAAAACAGCTAACAAGAAGAAAGGTTGTTCACCTTCACAGCAAGCTCATGCAAAGACCTTGATACAGCAGATGACAATGCCACAGCTCGTAAGGCATTTGGATAAAACTGAGATCCCTCTGGTGGTGTTGAGAGTAGCAAAGACACAGCTGCTTCCAAGTTTCCAACAGAGATAAGTCTGGAAGTAACAATGTAACATCAATAAGCGCAGAAGCTAGAAGTTAAGCCATAACAATTGTTCTTTATATTATTTAGGAATACATCAAGATGAGTATGTTTATAAGTTTGTAATTTTATCATTCCCTGTTTATAGTTGAGTCAATTCAAATTTTTTACAGAATACATTTTATTAAACTTCCAAAACTATGAAAGAGTTCTCCAATCCAATTCTCTGATACAAGTGGAAGCTCTAATACAACTGATGATAACATTATAGTCCTAAAATTTTCTCAATGCTCAACTGAACAAAATTAAAT